TGATTTGTGCAGTACAATGAAATCCTGCTCTTGAACGAGGCCTCATGTTTCAGGTGTAGCAAGAATATTGCTAGAGAAGACTCCATACACCAAAGGCACCACTGAAAGAAAGAGTAAAGGACAAAGGAGCACAGAGGGTAAGGAGCAATAGTCAGTCATATCTTGGTACCTGCACTCTTAATAAGTATCCTGTAGCTTTAGACACCATAAGTCATGGCTCAACCTTCTAGTCATATGGAATACACTATAAAATACACTCATATAATCCAAGAAGAGGAAAGTATTGATAACAAGTTTTGTACCAAAATTATTTCCTCTATTCATAAGGTTTCTTTGCTATGTACTAAGAACTTCTACGGTTCACTCACCCTCTGTAAAAAAGTTCACTTCAGGTGTTTCTAAAGGAAGATTTCTCAAAGAAGTTTTTGTCAAGTTGAACTGTCTCTGGCCAAAACAGAAATGTTCCAGCAGCAATCATACACTATAGACATATCAGTCTGGGAGATGGGAGGAGATCATCTGGGTATTCAATATCTCGGAGCAGGGGTCCTTTTAAAGTTCTTGGGGATAGGTCAAGTGGGAAAACTAAAGCTCACTCCTTCTTACCCATCTTTACCTGGGACAGTTGGCTCTAGGGGAACTTGAAGCATTTCCAGGCTGCAATTGCTCCTAATTGCTTAACATCAGGTCAACTGAATGGCTTGCTACAAGACTTACAGCTGAATTTAACCCAGCTCTAACTTAGTTGTGTAAAGTCATGATGAAGGACACAAAAGATCATGATCTGTGTCTGTAAAAAACTTATTTATGGCAATGTTGGAGAAATGTAAAGTTTGATTTTCAGAGTCTTATTTTTGTTCACCTGAATCCAGAAGACAAAATATCTTCTCCCCATAAACAGACTAAGTCTACTGGATTTTGAAGTTCTTCAGGCTTTATTGAAATTCCAGAATTTCTGAAAGCTAAATATCAGAACAGAATCAACATTTTAGTAAGAAAAATAAATGCCTTATTAGAATGAAACCATTTCAGTCCTTTCATAGCCAACCCTAACAATCCTGAGAGAAGCAGATCACATAATGTCTTCAAAGGTAAATGGAGAAAAATACAACTCCAACAGTTTGGGTACGTAAGTATCCCCACACTTTTTATGGCAAAGGTCTGTACTGAGGGCCATCAAATGTTGGAATGCTTCCAGAGGCAAACTGTTTATTCAGAGGCAGATTTGATCAAAGCTAATGTTTTCTAAAAGGCAGCTAGATTAATCAGACCCTTTAAAAAATCCTTTGCCTAGAGCTCATCCACTGGGCTGTTTGGGCTGCATATTTTAAGCAGCAGAAAACAGCCAAGTCAAAGGCAACAAAAACTTGTTTCTAAGAGAAGCAAGGAAAAGACCAAGAATAAAAGTTAACACTGCAGATCATTGCAAGCTTCAGAGAGTACAATTGTTTTAATGAGAGCTAAAAATACTTCCTTCTAAGAGTGCTTGCTCTTCTGCCAAAGGCATGTGATACACTAAGAAACATGTTTGCAGAATCAAAATATTTATACTACAAAGAAGCAGTTCCTGCTCTAGAAACTTATTATAGCAGTTAAATCAGAACTCCATGTTTTATAACACAGACAAAAGATTATCAACCACAGACAGAAGTGAATACTGGCTTTGTTGCCAACTTAATGTTAAAACAGGAAAAAAAACAGCATATGTTTTCTCTAGATTGCCTGATAGTTACCTTAGTGTAACTATCAATGTAGTTCTAGGACAAAGTACAATTTCACTTTCTAACCTTCTCTTTGCCATATGACAGAAGTGAGTTGTACTAGAAGGCACTCTAAAAAAAAAAGGAACAGAAGGACCATGCAAACAAATATGTAAGTCACTTGGCCTCACTGAAAGCTTTACAAATATTTGTTCTCTATATTCAAAAATCTCAGCTTTGCTCAAAATTCAATACAGTACTTCATTTGTAGTCCAGGGGAATACAGAAAGTTAAACCTTTATGATGATTAAACTTCACAGGAACTTGAAAGTATCAAGTTCGACTTCTTTCCTTTGTTAATTTCAAGCACTGGAAAATCTTACTTTTTTTTTAAGGGGGGAAAAAAAGAAAGAGAAGTGATTTAAAGTCATAATTAGAGTGACAATTCACTTTCGAAAATCCAAGTTTTGTGGACATATTTAGCTAATACATCAACAGTGCAGCTGTGAGGCTGCCAGTACTGGCTCCAACTGTGAAAAGCACTTTTTTTCTTTTTTAAGTCTTTTCTTCACTTGTCCCCTGCTAAAGACACAAAACAGCAGAAAACAGACAACTGCTTTCTCCAATTGTCAGGCAAAGGAATCTACAATTTTATTTCGTAGCACAGTTGCTACTTGCATATTAACCTAGCAGGAATTTCATGTAGCTTGTTAAATTATTTGCAATATTGGAGTAGCAACTTGTTCAGCAATCATGAATTGCTAGCTCCTGCATTTAATTTATTTTTTAATTGCTCTCTCCTCTTGTAAGCCAAGAAAGGAAACGAAAAAACGATACAAAAGGGTGCTGACCACACTTGTGTGTCTAAAACATTCTGCCTTTAAATAAGGCCCAAAACTGAGACAGATTACATTACAGTGTTAGAAAAGTTGCTTGATACGCTCAAAAAGCCTTTTTGCACAGTTTGTTAAATTACAGCAGGCAATTCTCTTTCAGGAAGAGAACGGTAAAGCAGCAGAAGTGGAAAGAGAGCAATAAAAGTGCTGAAAGCATTTACACTGTCTAAGTCACTCGACTCATTCCTTGCAACTTCAGTTCTTTCCCCTGTACGTCTCCCTTCTCTCCATACTGATGAAAAGCTGGAACAGAGCAAGACAAACTCTTGGTGCTAACAAGCTGGTTTTAGAAACTGGTGGGGCTTGGCTTATGCCGCAGTCACCAACAGTGGGTCTGCTGGGGATGTGTTTCCCTTCCCTAAAAGGGAAAAGTGAGCTATAATGATTATTAAGGACTAACAGATGAAGTCATATCACTCACAGTCTTCGGTTCATCTGCAACAGCAACTGCCTATTCCATCGACATCAATCCATTAAAAGAAGAAAAAAAAAAAGGGGAAACTAACACATAATTTCTGACTGTAAATTACATCCCAAGCTTCCGCCTATCCACGTATTTAAATGTTAAGCACATCAGGGCAGGACTTCTGTGTTACTCTGCAACACTTGACACACCAGAATACTGCCCTCAGTTGACTTTGTAGCGTGCTGTAACAAACAAATTACAACCGTTATCTGACTTCTCAGGTTTTGCCACAGTACAGGAAGAAAGGACAGATGAGACAGCATCCATCCAATTGCACGTAGCTCAAGCGCCAGCATCGTCACATGTGGAAACACAACAGAGACAATGCATGTTCATCTCAGGACTGTCCAGAAACTGGTTTCAATATCAAGTATGCTGAAGAGCAAGCAGAAGAGGATATACTGAAGTTTCTACTGCCTTAAGCAGCTATTTAAGCTCACCTTATAGGTCTTCAAAAACTCTGAACTTGGTTCTTTATGTTGTTACAGTAACATTAAAATGCCTAAAACGTACTGCCATACCACCAAGCCTGGAAAACAGAAACTTAGATTTGTCTTACTAAGTTTGGAGCTTTAAAGATACATAAAATACATTAATAATAGCACAAATACACAATAATAGCATAAAATAAGTATCACCACACTTTAAATTCAGAACACCTTCAACGTGAATGGATATGTTATTAGGCACTGTATATAAATCCAGTAAAGTGAGTGAATAGCATCAGTTGCACTAGAGCAAAATATTTTGTCACCTGAGAACGGATGAACAGCAAGTTTCCACATACATGCAGTTTACTTACAGGCTTCCAAAGAGCTGGTTATGTCTTCTTTTAATAGGTAGATCTACACCAAAGTAATCATTGCCTCCTACACCAGCTAAAAGCTTAGCCTAGTCCATGCTCTCCCCAGAACTCCTCACAATAGAAAAGAACTGCAACCAAAAGAACAGATATTAAAAAAATGATCGTACTTGTACATCAGGAAAATTAGTCCTTAATAAAGGTACATTTGTTAATGTTTGACTGTAATTTTCCCATTCTCAGAACTTTCCACTAACATTAATTCCAACAGTTTGGAAAACACTGACAGTAGGTACCTGCTATTCTAGAGAGCAGTGTTTGAAAGTTACAACTAGCACAAAAAGTTGGGAGTTGCACTTTAGCCTTTTTTTTTTTGAAAGAAGCAGTGAAGTCAATGAGCTTGATGCATAAAAATTATATCAAAGTATGTCCCATTACCAACTGCTTTATCAGCCTGCATCTCAGTGGTATCAACCCGTTAAGTGGTACTTCATTACACTAGATTACACTACTCTTCTGTCTTTCCTGCTTGCTCTGAATCAACTGATCATATTGTTTCTCCTAGAGTATCAAGAATGGAGTGTCCTGGATCTTTAAAAACACCTGTTTGCTTAACCTTAAAGTCAGGCTGTGGAGTTTCATTCACAGGCATTCATGGCTCCTTACTATAATAAAAAAAAATTTAAAAAATCTTTTCTCAGCTCCTGGGAATCCAGGTAGGTCTATTTCCCAGAACCCCAAAGACAAGCCTGATCTACTCTTATAAAATCAAGACACTGAGCACCAAAGATGGAATTAAGAGCAGCAAAGATCGTAACTAGCTACTGGTTAATGTGTGGAACTGGGAAGCAGACACAGAGGGGATGCACGTGTACCTGTAATTATGTTCCACTGTTCTTCTGTGCCCTATTCCAGTACATAAAACAGGCAGATATTGCTTGTATTCCATTTCTTCTATCACTTCTTTAAAAGCTCCTGCCTTTAAAGCTGTTGGTGCACATATGTACACAAACATCATCCCACCCAGCTGAGCAGATTGTTTAGTAAAGAAACACACACATGCATTTTGAAAATAGGATTTTATTGGAAGCTTATCAAAACATCTGAAATCATCTTCAGGAAAGGCACTTCAGACTTTAGTCCCTTTTCTTTTTAGCTCTGGGTTCTTGTGACAGCTGAGATAACTCACTCTCTTCAACTTCATCACAATGCTTTCTTTTCTTTTTCTTTGACTTTTTATGGTCACTTTGGTAACCACTGGAGTCACTGGTAGGCAATACATGTTCTTGTTCTTCTTGCTTATGCTTTTTCTTTTTCTTCTTCTTCTTATTTTTATCATCACATAATCCATTCACAGCATCAACACTTTGCTCTTCTGCGTTTTCCCTCCCAGTGTTATCTGTCTCACCTAGAGGCTCCTCTGTGACATTATCTCCCCCAGAGTCATTCAAGCCATTTTCCTGGTGGTCGAGACTTTGAGTTTCATCTCCATTTGTACTGTCAGTGACAGTCTCAGATTGTTTGGGCCGCATGCTGTAGAGAAACATACAAAATAAGCTAAAGTGCATCTAAGTGCACCTCACACAGTGAAATGTCAAAATTTGCTAAAACACAGTATTTACACCAAGTAAGTAAAATATAAGCATTTGCTAAAACCAACAACAAACGGAGAACAGGATACAAGAGTTACAGAAAATCATAAAGTCAGCAGAATACTTTCATGGTAATCTCTTTTACCCAGCTAGCTTCCTTCTTATCACAGAATCAATATTCTCTTTCAAATCCTAGCCTAAATTTCTTCTCTAAAATGTTGTACAGACCATTTCGATACTTCTGCTTTTCTTGTAGTCTTTCATCCACTAATCCATAATTACACGTTCTGTAGTAAAGCTTTTTTTTTTTAATAAAGTTATTCTCAAACATGCACAGTCAACAGTCTGTTCAATCATACATGAGACGCGCTGCTGGTTTTACCAAGCCTTGCTGACGTCTATACAGTTAAAACAAAGGTGATGCCAGAAAAGCCAAAAAAAGAAGAAAAAAGCCCCCAAACAAAATCAAAAAACCCAGCAGGTACCTTGCAACTGAGAGCACTGGAGAAAATGTCTAGGAAGACAATTATGGAAAGAATGCAGTTAAAAACCATGGTGGAGGAGATGTCCCCAGAGACAGTGAGAACAAAATCATTAAGTTTCATTGTAAGTTTACTGAGACAATCCAGAACATCCTTCCAGATTAAAAAAGAAAAACCAAACAAAAAACGTTATGATTTTGTCACTAGTAGTCATATGGTACATTTAATTAAAAACATAACCACTCTGGTAGAAAAAAATTGCTCAGCAAACGGCCATTAAAAAAAAAAAAATCTGAATCAACTCTTTTAAAAGTATCACTATTACAATTTTTAGCAAGCTGTTCTAAAAATTTACAGAGGCATAAGTGAAAGGCAATGCATTTTCTCATATCATCTCTGATATTCTTGTTTCAGCAAGCATTTAAGTCATCCACATATAACTATTTGTGATTATGTAATGCGCGCGCGTGTGCAAACACCAATGCAAACATTGTGTTCAGGAACTGGAGTGTTTTTACTTGAAAAGCCTATGCACATTCACAAACACAGCTACGCCAGATATTTGGGGGTGCTATTTTCAACGTGTATTATTTATGCAATCAACAGTTCATAGGTCACTCAAGCTTCTAAAACTCAAAAATCTACTTTTATTTTTCCAGAGAAAACTTCCATGCAAGTCCTTAATACTCGAAAGTTTAGTTTAAGATAACTAACACAAGAGTTTGTGTCAAAATAAGAAAGCTTAAAGATGAAGATATTAATTCAAATCATTTAACTTGTAACAAACCCATTAAAACAGTTACAAGTATTCTCTAGTAGGGCACAATACCTGCTTTTGGTAAGTCCTCCTCGAATGAAGAACACCCCAGCTGCATCGGAATCCAAGTGCAATACTTGAAATTTCAGTTCATCCCCTATTTTTAACCCCAGCTCTTGCCACTGTACAACAGACATTTGTTCAGGTTTAGGGATAGAAGCATTGAAGCATCCATGTATCAGGCAGCCAATATGACTAGGGGCCACTTTATTAATTACACCCTAAAAAAGAAAAAGAATGTGATATGAAGATAAAATAAAGATTATCCCTTTAAACGTACATGATATATATTTAGTTTCCTACATGGACGCTTTTTGACAAGAGTTTATACACAAGTTACAAAGTCAGTTTATCTAGCAAATAAGCTAACCTCTCTTCACTAAAATCAAAGCTATTTCTATATACTCTTTATAAAATTCTTCTCAAAACAGAACTGAACCTGTTATCTGCAAGAGAAAGTCAAAACATCGGATTTATCTACATACTACAGCCATCAACCTTCCTCTAAAGCCATTTGAAGTCTGATTTACTTGCCTAAAACGGCCTTCATGCTGGCACAGAAGTACTTAGCAGCTAAAGATACCGATGACACCTAAATAGGTTTTAAGTACTCTGCTCAGTGGGTTTCTGATACATTTGCATGTCAAACTATTCACCTTGGTTTTCTCCAAGGATGCACGAAAGACACTGGAGGTTTCTCTATTCCCTTCCTAGCAAGAAAACACATTCTTTACATTTAGAAAGATACAAGCTATAGTGCAAAACGTATGGCACAACAACGAATGTAAGCCAACTCTGAACTTATTTTTCCCACAAGTAGTGACACAACTGTATCAACAAGTTGAAAGCTGTTCTATGAGCCAAACACTTCCTTTTACTGAAAGTCTGGCTTCAACTTGATGTACTGAAGGAAATAAACTCATGAGAACACCCTCAACATTCCTGCCACTATTAGAAAACAACAAGCACACCTGTTTGAGAATTATCTGCTTTTCAGAAAGATATTTGTATATCGATATAAACGATATACAAAATTATGATATAGTATTTAATGTATAATCCTTGTTATACGATATCTTAACAGTATACACTATACATACATTCAACAAATATAGGGACAGACAGTAGAGAGAGATGAAAATAAAAAGTATTACTACAAACTGCTAATAAACTACTGTAAATTACTTACACGCGAATAAACAACGGATATAAACTAAAATATAGCTTCACCTAAGTCCCAGACCTCCGCTGATGACGGAGATAAGCCAAGCTTTGATTATTTAATAAAAAAACGCCCCGTGAGACATCAACGCGTCTACATACCACCAGTTTTTTCCCTTTCTTGGGGCTGAAGATGACGAAGTCCGCCTCGATGTTCAGGTGGATGAATCCTTGGTCGTCGTAAATGTCGCCGAGCTCTCCCACCACTTTGATGTTGTCGTAAGCCACCGGCACACCCTGAAAGCTGGGAGAAGGGGAGGGAGCACCGTTAACTGTTAGGCCGGACACTGTCAGGCGCTGCCCCCGGCCGCGGCGGGGCCGCCGGGTGGGCT